AGGGCGGGGCGGTGGAGGGGAATAAAAGTACAAGGAAGAAAAAAAGAAGGAAGTAGAAGAATAGAAGGAGCAAAAGCAAAAAAAAAAGAAGGAATAGAAAGTCAAAGAAGAGGAGGAAAGGAGGAGGAATAAGAAAGGAGAGAATGAGGAAGAAGACGAGAAAGAAGAAAGGAGAGTAACAGAAGAACACAGTAAATAAACAAAGTGACAAAGAATCAGAGGACACTATTCACTGAATAACATTCTGGAAGCCTGAAAGTGCGAATATGAGTTTCCAGAGCAAACCGATTTAATCTCAGCTAGAAGAATATGACTCAAGTAATGACTGTATTTGGAACGTCTTACATTAAGCACACGCCCCGTGCCAGGCACTGAGTTACACGCTGTAACGGTGAGTCCCATCCTCACAGAGCTGACTGCCATCTCGGAGGAGACAATTAGACAAAAAACACAGCACTGTTGGTACTGAGGAAGCACAGACCAGAGAGCAAGTATGTCAGTGTACAGAGGGTAAAGGGAGACTTCTGAAAGGAAGTGATATTACAGCTGAGATCCGAAGGATGAGCAGGGGGAGGTAAAGCGAAAAGAAGGGGAAAGTCAAATAAAGTGAAGGAAGAGAATATTCCGTTCTACATAAAGGGAATAGCTTGTGTGAAGGCCTGTACATGAGTGACGGCAGATACATTACAGGAATTGGAAGTTCGGTACAGCTGCAGACGAACAGTGGCAGGAGAGGAAGTCAGAAAAGGGGGGGACAGGGACTCAAAGAGTAGAGCCGGAAAAGAATCTGGAATCGGGAGGGAAAATAAGACTCGGCAAGGAAACTCGTCAGTAGTAGGAATAATTCAAGTGCAATATAATTGAGGACTAGACAAAGCTGGCTGCAGTGATAGTGGAAAGAAAGAGATTTAAAGGCCATTTAGAACATAGAATCAGTATTTCATGACTAATAGGATAAAGAGAAGCAAAGGGCGATCAAGGATGTCCCGTCAGTTTCTGGCTCAAGAACCTGGAGGTGAGGAGGGAAGGAGGAGAGACGTCCTTCATGTGGACAGGAGGAAACAATGAATTCAGTTTCGGACACAATGAGTTTGAGGCGCCTGGGAGACACTCAAGTGTAGGTGTAGGTAGTTGAGAACGTAGGTCTGAGCTGGACATTAACTTGAGAGCAAAACCATGAATGCTTGGGACCAGATCACCAAAGGAGTTGCCACACGAAGTGAAGAAGAGGTGAACCAGGGCACAACCCTCAAGCGAAGCGATGGTCAAGGAGCAGGCAGAAGAAAGGAGCTTGCAAAGGAAACCCAGGAGGAATGAGAATTAGAGGATATCCAAGATATTATGATATAATCAAAGCCAAGCAAAGAGACTGTTTGAAGAAGGAAGATGAGGTTAAAGGCATAAAATACTAAGGTAAATTCAAGTTAGACAAAACCTGTGAAACAGGCCAGTTGGATGTGGCTAAAAGAAAGTTACCAGTAACCTTAGTAAGAGCAGTTGCACTGAAATAATGGGGGGACGGAAACAATTTTGAAAAAGGTTGAAGATTGAGTGGGAAGGAGGAGATAGAGGTCAGTGTTGGCTCTTTTTACAAGTCTTCCTATGAAAAGGAAAAAGAGAGGAGGCATATGGGAGGAAGCCAATAAAGAAAGAGAAGTTGTAAATACAGGACAGAGAAGAGCTAAGAAAATAGTGTCACTCAAGAGGCAAGAAGGGACATGATCTAGAGCACAGGGGGAAGCCCTGGTCTCAGAGTAACAGAAGGAAGGGAAGAAGCAGTGTCTGCAGGCACAGGTGTCTGGTACTCTAACGGGGAAAGTTACGGGGTTCCTACATGCTGGTTTCTGTGAGCTCTACAAAATTAAAGAAAACATGTTCTGCTGGGAGTGAGAACAAAGTACAAGGAGTTTAATGTCTGCAGAGAACAATAAATATTGGCAATAAATGCAGTAGAAAATAGGAGAAAGGAAGAGTGTGAGCAAAGACACACAGTATTCTATGGGTAGCAGTAACCTATGAAAGCTCAGGTTTTGTTTGTCCCCAGTGGGACCCTGCACCCTGGAAACAGGCACAAAAAAAAGAGTACCAGCTGGCTTTCATCAGTGAACTTCCTGTCTGGATAATGGGCAAGGACGATGAAGACAGGACTCAGCAAACTTATTCGGTAAAAGGTCAGATAGCAAATATTTAGACATCGCAGATTGTACGGTCTCTGCTTCACTCCTCAACTGCTGCTGTGGTGCAAAAGCAGCCGTAGACCATATGTAAATGAACGGCTGGAGCTGTGTCATTTATAAAAACAGGTGGCGAGCTGGATTTGACCGGCCACCAGCTGTAGTTTACCAACCCCTAGTTTAAGAGAAGGAAGTAAAGATACAAAAAAGAACTGATATCAGAGGGATGAATAGGCTAGAACTTTGAAGAGTTGAAGAATCGGTGCCTTCTAAAGAGAACTGAAATTTTATGGCATGAATAAAGTTGAACATATGTTAGAATAACAGTCTATGCAACAAACCTTTGAGCCTATTTCACAAACATCAATAGGATCATTATCTCCACAGCAGTCTGTGCTCTTATCTTTTCGATGGGGATCTTCCCAAGTCTAAAAAACAGAAGGGCGGGGGTGGAATATGGGTTAATACTCTCTATAATGTATCTTAATCTTTCCACATGTCCATGAAGTTTTACAGATCGCCATAATCCAAGGGGAAAATTCTCAGAAATTAAATAGGCTCAATGCCAACATGCCAGTACATCCCTAAGCATCATAATAATTAAAACAGATTCATACTATTTCCTCCCTTCTGTCTTTCATTTGTCTGTATAATCACAGCCGAAAGTGGGTGGTATTTACAAATACACTCTTCTTCCAAGTTTAGTCAGTGTCTAAAATCATGCTCACTTTTATTTAGAGCTTCAGTTCAGATGTTCCCATTGTCTGTGCCCTTGTTCCCACTAACTGTCTGGACTGCTGCTTCCACTACTCACTGCTTCCTTTGACATGGAACAGCATTGGGTCTGGCTTTCCAGGTTTGAAAATAAACTTCCTATACTCTAAGTAACTTCTACTAGAACAAACCCAGTTTTCCCTTCACAAACCAAAGAACAAGTATCTACGAAAGAAAAACCCATTTTTGTCCCATTTCATTCCATTTTAAAAATCCTCTACCTTTGTCATCAAATCTTGAAAATTTGACAAAACCATGAAAAGATGGCAACTCTTTAGTTTACTGAAAAGATTATACCCTGTTGGCTATAAACTATATACATTGAGTATTTTTATAAATGAACAGCATAACAGAAATTTGTTATCAAGCTTCAATATCCCTTAGGCACTATCCTTCCCCAAAAGCTCCATAATTAGCTGATTCTAAATGGAACTGTAGAAGTTCCCTGAAATTATTTCTCCCAGATTTATAAGATGTGCAGAGACTGTGTCATCTCAAGAATGTTACCTAGAATTTCAGATTATCCAAGATGGGCTCCTCTAATTTTATATAGATAATTTAAAATGAACCCTATTTACAGCTAAACCCTAGATAAACTCTAGTATTTCCCTTCTGATCATAATTATAGCATATTCAGGAATATACTGACCCATCCTTACCAGAAAGCAAAATCAGTAAACCACGACTAACATTTCACTACCCCCAATACTAGCATTACTAATAAAATATAAGGATAATAAAAATAACTGTTAACCTTACATATTGGTTATAGATGAGAGATACCTTCCCAGTGATATACACACACATATACATACATGTATCCCATGAAGAATGTACAATTATTAACTCCACTGTACAGATAAGTAAACTGCAGCACAGAGTTTAAACTTGCCAAGCTCAGATTCTAAATGGTGGCCATGAGATTAGAACACATGCTATTAAAAATTATGTTATGATGCCCAGATTTTGATAACAAATATTTGGTAATTGAATGGCAATTACTTTCAGATATAACCTTATTCATGATTCTCTTCTTTTAAGTTCTCTTACTCTCAGAATCTCCTAAGTATATTTTCCTACGGTTGACCTTACTGCTTCTTGTTTTCTATTACCAGGCATCCATTCATTGAGTTAATATTTATTGATTACCTACTCTTGACCAGGAGTTAGGAACAGAAACCAACAGGACACAGTCAATACCCTGAAGAACACCGTGCTGATAAATGGTGTAGCATTTGTCACAAATGCTACAAAATTAATCTTAATGTGCTGGAGAAGCCAAGATGGAAGTGAAGTATATAAGTGGAATTAGAAAACCCAGAGGCAGAATCAGAAAATATCTGAGAGGTCCTTCCTTCCTAATGCAGGAATCCTTTCTTGAACCTTCCTTAACCTCACTCCCACTCTCAGAAGGGAACAAATGTGATAAGCTAGAAGTCACTCCGGCCTGAAGGAAGATACCTAGATTCTAGTCCTACTTTAGCCACAAACTACCTTGGCCAAAACATCCAGACCTCAGTTTCCTCACCTATAAAAAGAATGGCTTAAATAAGACAATTGCTAGATACATCCTAGCCCTGAATTCTATGGTTGTTGGTGGTCATTCATAATCCACATAAATACTACCAGTGAACAGGAAGCTCACAAATTCATGAGATAACTTAGTCCATTTTGGTCGGATTTAATATTTACAAAAGTCCTTTCTGACACAAAAGTTGTCTTCATATAAGTGGTATTCCATTTGGTTTTTGTGGGTGTTTCTGTTTTTTGATTGGTTCATTGGTCTACATTCCCTTCAGAAACTCCTCTTTCAACATTACCTATCAATTTAGTTCCTTCTCTTGAGAAAATAAGTACATACAGGCAAAATTCTTAAGCTATAACAATGCTGTCAATTTTAGGGCGAGTGAGTGGTTCATGATTTCCCTCACCAGAAAAAAAGACCATACTAGTTCTTTCTATCTCTAGTCCTGCCTTTAACACTCTATACCTTCAGGGCTCAGTTTTTTACTACAAAAAGAGAGCCATACTAAATAACTTCTAACTTAACTTGAAAATACAGTATAACTTCAAACAATCACTAGGAGAGGAAATCTTGACAAATTTAAAACTTTATGCCCTCGAGTGTAGTTTAAGTATCTAACTAGGCAGAGAAACAACTAGAAAAGCACAGTCAGGCTAGAAAAGAAATATCCAGAAGAGGAAATTCCAAATCTTAATATTTGTTTCACAAAAGTGACAAAAGATTAGATCCAGGATTTAGAAATAACTTCTACAGTTAAATAAGAAAAAGAGCCACGCAATACAAAATGGGTCCAAGACAGGAACAGGTAATTCAAAGAGGAAATGTGAATGACTTACAAGTATATGAAAAGATACCCAGTCTGATCAGAGAAATACAAATTAAAACCAAAATGAGATGCTATTTCAAAAACTTAAAAATCTGATAATGCTAAATACTGATAATGATATAAGAAACCTGGAACCCTACTACTACTGGTAGGAGTATATATTATTACAACTTCTTTTGTAAACAATTTGTGAATACCTAGTAAAGTAAATAGGTATGTAACTCAGAACTTAGCAATCTAACTTATAGGCATACACTTAGTAGTATATACCTATATATGTTAAGTATATAGAAAAATTTTAGCAGGGACCCACGAAAAGCTTTAAAAAGAGTTTAAAAACCTATCAAGAGGAATACAAATAATGCTAAACTCATACAAAGGATGGCTATAAAGCTATGAAAAAAAAATCAGAATACATAGATTATTGATCTAGCCTAAAACAAACCTTACTCACCCTCATGAAGGTTTTGAGGTCATTACCTTACAATCTTATAAATATCAACCAATACATCTGTAATCACCATGATCTGGTGCTTCAGTCTCTCCAAAAAAACCACTGAATGGTACAGAGCTGGGTATACAGGTGCTTCTTGAGAACTACTTCCTGATCAATCAGAATTCCTATCATCAGGTCAAAGGAAGTAAGATCTACTCAACCACTACCTGAAGTTCACCAGCTTCAGTGTGGAGCAAAAGCTATTTACTATTAGCAGCTAACATCAATCAGTGGCAGCAGTGTCATCATCGAGATAATACTATTGAACACTCACTACGGGGCTAAACTTGCGTTGATCATCTCATTCAATATCCACAATAACCTTGTGGGGTAGGTGGCAGGATGATACAGATGAACAAATAGGCCTAGAGACATTTAGTCACTGGTCCCAGGTTATAAAGCTAAGAAGCGGTACTAAATGAAACTTGGGGTCACTGAACCAAATTTATAATGAAGTTCAAAGTAATAAATACAATGATATTACATTAAGACTGAAGAAATCTTGAAGTTAGTGATTCTAGTCCTTTAACATTATTCAGATAGGTCCTCTAAATATTTACACAGAAAGTTATTACACTTGAATAATATGTGGGAAATATGAACAATCGGGGGGGAAGACAAAGATGATTCTTGCCCAGTCCAAACTCAACTCTCAGGAAGGCATTATTGCTGGTGCAAGGGAAGTTATTAGGGTTAAACAGTCTAGGCAGATGAAGGTCTGAAATGAGGGCACACAGATGGATTACAAGCTAAATGGAGAGGCTGCTACTTAAACAGTATTCTGCTGCTTAAATGTTCTTCCAAGCATGGTTGGCTTGGTAACCGCTCTGAACAACCTTCCTGCTGTTATAAGACAAATCATAAGAGAACAGCAAAATCCAATTACCCACACATGCCTATGAAGCAAATGCAACATACACCATGCATTCATGGATTCATTCATCCCCAAATATTTACTGATCACCTACTTGGTGCCAGTCACTAAGCTGGGCAGTTGGAAGACATCAGTGAACAAAACAGACAGAATTCCTGCCCTTATGGAGACTGCATTCTAGCTAAAAGATATTAAAAATAAACATAATGAAAAACTAAATTATGTACCATGTCAGAAGTTGGTAGGTGTAATGGAAAAGGGAAAAAAAATAAAGTATGGAAGGAGGAATGGGAGTATGTGGGTTAAAGCTGTAAAGGATGTTCTGGGCAGGCACCGTGAAGGAGGTAGCTGACCAGCAAACACTTAAGGAGGCAGGACATGTGACCACTGGGAGAGAGTGTCCCAGGCTGGAGGACACAGTAAGCGTGATGGCCTGAGGCAGGAGTGTGCCCGGAGCATCGAGCAGTCGTGAGAAGGTCAGTGTGGAGCTGAGAGAGCAGGAAGAGAAGCCAGACACGAGACCAAAAACATAAATGGAACCGGGGGCTGGCTTGCATTTTAACAGGCTCACTCTGTCTTAACATCGACCGGAAGCAAAGAGATATTGGGTATGGTACCTTGCCTATCAACAACTGGCCTAATTTCAACTTTTTATAAACATGAATCTATGTAGCTATTTTTGTTTGGTGTTTCACCTCTATGCAGTCTATAGTACATTTTTCTGCTGAAGACTCACACACACATACACACACACGCTACAACGTCAGTTTGGGTGTAAAAAGATAGTAAAGATCTCTGGTTGAAAACAGCAGAGAGAATACAGGTCGATTTCCTCTTCCTCACTTCCATTCTAGCCACACTGGCCTCCTTTCTGTTACTCAGGCAATAGAAGCCTCCTTCTACCTTGGGACCTCTATACTTGTTTCTTGATGAATTCCCCTAGACTGCCCTGGATGGCCCTCACTTCCTCAGGTCTTTACTAAGATAACCACCTTCCCACTTTCTTCAGGTCTCCCCCCAGATAATACCACCTCACTGAGGCCTTCTCCCTGTGTAAACTGCAACAATCCCAACACACCCCAGCCCCATTCCCTGCTTTATTTTTCTCTAACATGCTTACCACTATCTGAGGTACTGTACATTTTTACTTTTTTTTTGTCTGTCTCTCTGCCCAGAATACAAGTCCCAGAAGAATTTTTGTCCCTTTTATCACTGCTTTACCTCCAGTACTTAGAACATGGCCTGGCAAACGTTAGATACTCAAAAAATGTGTATAGAATGAATAAACAGCTCTGTGAAGGAAGGGCTGGTGTGGAAACGCCAAGGGACACTCGAAACACTGAAGAAGCTGCTGTGGTGGGATGGAAGTGAGGAAAGACAAAGGCTGCAAAACGAGGCTGGAGAAGCAGGGCCACATCATGAAGGGTTGGGGAGCCATGTTAGGAACTTTTTTATTTTATCCTTTTAGCAACAGGAGACCATTAAAAGGTTCTCTTATGGGCAAAATGGTATTTTGGATACTAGGTGGAGTATGAAATTTCGGTATGCAGGGGTGAAGGCAGGGGGCAAAGAGCCAGCGGCAGTCGAACTCTGCTCTAATACGAGAACCACGGCACCTAACAGACCAATATAATAACAGTAAGAGCATCTTGCACATTCAAACACACGCAGAGGAGCACAAAAATTTGTCAGGACTTTAAATAGATAAACTACAAAAGATGAGTTAGTAGCATCTATTATGCTCCACTGTAACTCCTGGTTTAGTTGATGATCATCCCACCGCCAAGAGACTATATAAAGACCATATAATAATAAAAGTACCAACAGTCATAATAATGTGATCACTATCTATTAGGCGCTATTCTAACATAAACATGCAATAACTCATTTAATGTCAACAGGACCATGTGCAGTAGATACTTTATCATCTCTATTTTACATATAAAGAGGGTGAGGTACCGAAAGACAAAGGAACTTGCCCAAGGTCACATTACTAGGAAGTGGCAAGCTGGCTCCAAAATCAACGTTCTTAGTCACTTATTATGCTGCCTTGACCTTATACTATCTCTCATTTTTCTTTGTTTCCCCAACATCTAATACACAGCCTAGCACATAAATCCTTAATAAATGTTTAATGAAATAAACAAATACATACTTTTTATGGCTCTGTTTTTGTCTTTCTCTAATTCAACGGCTTCTTTGGGCTTCCCCTCATCTATGCCTTCTCGTACAGACCTATCCCCCAAGCTTAACAAAAATATTCTTGCTCTTTCACTGCTAGGTCAAACAGGGTCTCTACTTAGGCACCTGGGGAGTCAGAAGACCTGGTTTCAACAGACATCCTCATTCTTAGCACACCATGTTAGAAATGCCTGTTTTAACCAAGAATGTATCTACTTGGGTGGTCTAACTGCATCAAAGACAGCCTGACTCTTTAGAAAACATTTTTCTTTTTTCTTTTCCTGTGAATGTTTATTCTACATGGGCAGCTGTTTTTCTGAGTTGGATAAAGCAAGACCTCCTTTTTCAGATATTTTCCAAAAAGCATCTTGGAATTTCATGCAAAATATTAAAATAAATAAAATTTAAATAATCAAAATTAAATATTCAGATAGACAGATGCTCTAATGGCTTTTATAAACATAAAGGCAGATGCTTCTCTACGTCCCCAAACCTAGACTTCTGAATCTGCATATTCTGAGTTTTACTCACTAAATTATCTGGAAGGAGTTACCACTTCCCAGGAGTGAGTAAACATGAGAAGAAAACAAAAAGGGAGAAGAAAGGAAGAAAAGCAAATAGCAACGCTGCTTTACCATGACTTAGTCATTGTTTCCATTGCTTCCCACTTAAAAATTATAAATTCATAATAGTATATAATTAAGTTGCTTTATTCAATTCACAATGAATTCTGAAAGAGGTAACAATTTAAAAGGTTCACCTGTTAAAATTTAAAAACCAAAATTCATGCTGTCATATATGAATGTATATAAAAGCATAACTTGTCATATCCAAAGAAATGACTGCATATAAAGGAGACAAAACATTTTTCACGACTCTTAATAGCCAAGCCCAGAAAAAGAAATAACATTCAAAATGCCAAATGTGATTGTTCTATATACCTAACTCTAAGAACTTGAGTACAGACATATATATACTTTGAAAAAAAATTTACTGATACAATAAAACTCCACATTAAAAAAATTTATATTCACAAACCTCTCACACTGACATGTCCTCAGAACCAATTTAAATTCAAGTAGTTCACAGGATTTACAAGGCAATTTTTTCAGAAGACAGAGAAGTTTTACCATTATAACAAAAATGTTACCTGAGGGAGGGCACCGTAATTCCATATATAACCTTTGTGAGGAAAGATATTTGCCACGTAGCGAAGCTTGCCATCCTTTACATCTTGTTTAATGGGATTCAATGGCTCCTCCGTGGCAATCTAAGCAGGTCATGGAAAAAAGAGGGGTGGGGAATAAGAAACGATTAATCCTATATTCAAATAGTATTTTTTAAATCTGCCATTATCAGACTAAGTATTCATAATCCAACTTACTGATCAAAGACACTTTAAAATAAATTAAACCAGTTCTTGTTTCTAATTTACTGTTCTGTATTAAAAAAACTGTCTGGAAAGGAAACATCAGACTATATTTTTAGGCACTCTATTACTTATGAGCTCATTATTTCTAACACAAATAAGAAAGCTTATTGAAACGGCAAGAGGATAAGGATTAATCTTTGTCACTAATCTCGGACTTTCTACGGTCAATCTTATAATAAAGTTAACTTAAAGATTTTCACCAAGTGATTTCATTTCAAAGTTACCTTTCAATCAAACATATCCAAATTGCCATGCAAAAAGAAAAAAAAAAACTATCCTATAAAGTAAATAAAAAATAACTGAAGCCATGTTTGAATGAATAAACACTGCTGAAATTAGGCAGAATCTCACAGAATCTTGATCCTATACCCAAGTGAGGTAGAGAGTAGCCAGAATGATAAAACATTGTATTTAAAGCAAGAACAAAAGAAGAATCTAATATCTTTACTTTTTCCTATTAAAATATTAACAACAACAACAAAAATACTACCAGGACTTGGTGAAGTTACTGACAATCCTCCAAATATAAAATCTGAGAAATATATACTGACATAGCAATCCTTCAACACTTGAAATAATACTTGCCATCACATCCAAAGTTGTATGAGAAGGCTTAAATAACTAAACAAACTAAGTATCATAAATTAAATTTCATTCGGAACTATAAGGGATCTTACCTAACTGAAGATGAAATCATAAAATTCTGAAAAGCAAAAGGGAAGTTCTTGATAGGTTCATGTCTCATGGAAAAACTTTAAAAAAAAAAAAAAAAAAGCTAACCAGGGGAACAGCAGATGCTCTTAGAAAGTGCTCAGAAACCAAGTTGGCCAGCAAAATGCTTTCATTCCTAGTAGACTAAAATAAAATCTAAAGGAAAATTAAGTCCTTAGAAACCAAAATTATCATCAGTCCCAAATAATATGTTTCAGTTGTGTCTATGAACAAAATACATCTCAGAAGCTATTTAAGAAAATCTTGAAAATATTTGTCATTTTCAGACAGAGAAGTCAAGGAAAATTAAATAAATACGTGTATAACAAACTAGGGAGGCAAAAATGGAAAACACTGTCTTTAAAGCGTAAATTCAGCTTTGAATAATATTTTCCTTTTTGAAATTAGATTCAAAATAAGTTCACAAGAATGTTTTCCATTGTTTTAATTATAAAGAAGTTTGTCAACCATCCCAATTTCAAAATATTATGGCAAACAACTTGAAACCAAGTTTTTATATCATTATTATCATTTCCATTTGATATTAATAGGATATATCCATACCTCCATTTTAGCATTCGTCCACCGAGGTACTTCTACAACCATATTAAACAAATTCTGCAATTTAAAAAAACAACAAAGAAAAAAAAATTTAAATTTTGCCTTCCTTTATCTTTTCACTTATCTCCTGCATGAGAATGCTTTAGTTTTTTTCCCACAAAAAATGTTGAGCGTCTGCATCATATGTCTGCCTACGCCTTAAATTCCTTCTAAAAAATTAGAGAAGTTGTTTAAAACACAACAGAATTTAAACCTGATCGTGTCACTTGCCCACTACTGTACAGTGTTAGGAGTTGCTACATTTCTGGAAATACCTTTGCAGGGTAGTGACAGAACCAGAATGGAGCCAGGAAACTTGTTTCAATTTTTATTTTCCAGCTAAAATAGGAGTGAGAGCTGAATGTGTCACTTTTCCAGTCTACAAAGTAAGTGTGATAATCTCCTTCCTCACCCCACACAAGGTTGTTGTGAAGATGAATTACATATTTTAAATGAAAATACAGACAATTATGAAGTACTTTTAAAATTATAAAATAATATTTAAATCCAAGTTATTATCATATAATATACAATTAAGGCTATTGGTATAGGTAGTTATAAAGCTTATAAAGAGTTTTAAAGCTTAGTTTACATATCTAGTGATCTCTGGTTCCCTAAAGTTATAAAAGGACCACTGCTTCTGTTTATCATTTCTGAACTTTGCAGAGTACTTAAAACAAAGGAGACTACATCAGTGATGAGTAAAAATAATTTCCTACAGTAACGGCCTCACAAAGAGAAAGTCTTACAGGTAAAGTTGACTTGCATGCTATTCTGATATCAGTAACCAACAACTTATCAAAGCAATGGTTTAAAACAGTCCTGCTCCAAGTGTGTTCATGGACCAGGGCTAATCTGTAATATGACTGTTACTGGTTCATTTAGAAACATTTATAACAATCTGACAGAGTACTTTTTATGACTGTTGAACCTAATAATAAAAATTTGGCACTTGAATTACACTTTTCTAATAATTCATTTTGATTGTATTTTTTTAAAGTATCAGTTCACAACAGATTAGAAATAAACAAAACAACCTGTCCTTCACCACAGATCATTTGAGAAGCAGTGATTAAATAAACTTATTCTCAACTGTGTCACACAGCAAAATCACCTGGAGAGCTGTAACCGAGTAAAAAAAAAGAAAAAGATTTTTAGAGCCCCATCTCCTACATATTTGAATTCAATGGTTCTCAGGTGGAGCCAGGGCACTGCTTATTTTTAAAAGCATTCCAAGCAATTTTCATATGCAGCCAGAGTTGAGAACCTCTGGTTTAAAGCACTGCTAAACAATATCTGGGGCTTTCTTAGTGAAACATGAATGCTATTAATTCAAAGAATGCCATTTATACAATTAAATATAAATCAAGCCACAAAAATAATGATGGTTTTTAAGTTCTTCTAGATAAGACTAAAGTTTACCAGTGACAAAACTGCATACTCATAACGAGATAAGGAACAAAGCTGAGAATGAATTCTCAACAATTGCTCCTTAGAAGTATGTCTCATACCTATCTTAGCAACCTTATACACAGGCCTGCTGTTATGTTTCATTTTCTATGCTCTTTCATGAGGTACCCCAGCACCTGTTTAAATATGTCTGAAGTAGCTGTTAAAAAGAAAAACCTAAGGAAATGACAGATGTTCACATAATTTATTCATCCCTGAAAGTCTGGCTATAAGAGAACAAATGCATGCAGATGAATACTCAGAGGTGACAGAGAAGACAAAGCTAGTGACAATCCTTTTACACAAGGACACCTACCAAAAGCACTCACAGAGACTTGAATTACGCCAAAAGAACAATGGATCAGGTTTGAATTTTAAGCCTGCAAACTACACTCTCCCTCATCATTTGCTTCTGATCACTAGGAGTGTATTTCCAGCCTGTTTTTCTTCTCTCTGGCTAAAATGCATACGACCTGTAATTTTTTAAAACCAATGTTAGTCTGGTTATCCTAGGATTAGCGTTAATTACAAACCAAAAAGGGCCTGCTGAAATTTATTAGAAAATCACAAAGATACAAGGGGACACATTTCAAATTCAGAAAGTTGAGTATGGGTCAGGGGCATTTACTTCCTCCTTCAGTTCTTTTCTTTCTATTTTTTCCTTCTATTTTTATTGCAGGGGGAAAAAAAGAAAAGATGAAAAAGCAGTCAGTAGATTTTATATACTTGGGGAAAAAAATGAAAGGAAATCACCCTTCTATCCTCTTTCTCTTAAAATATCAAATAAACTTTGGATTTGACACTAAAAGCAAAGGCAACAAAAGAAAAATAAATAAATGGGAGTACATTAAACTAAAAAGCTCTGCACAGCAAAGAAAACCATCAACAAAATGAAAAGGCAACCAATGGAATGGAAGAAAATAAGTCATAAATCTGTTAAGGGGTTAATATACAAAATACATAAAGAAATCATGTAACTCAACAGCAAAAAACCAATCCGATTAAAAAATGGGCACAGGTCTTGAATAGCCACTTTTCCAAAGAAGACATACAGATGGCCAGCATCACTAACCATCAGGGAAATGCAAATCAAAACCACTATGAGATAGATGCTCATTGCCTGTTAGAATGACTGTCATCAAAAAGACAAGAAATAACAAGTATTGGCAAGGATGTGGAGAAAAGGGAACCCTTGTGCACTGTTGGTGGGAATGTAAATTGGTGCAGCCTCAATGGAAAACAGTATGGAGTTTCCTCAAAAAATTGAAAATAGAACTACCATATAACCCAGAAATCCCACTTTGGGATATATATCCAAAAAAAAATGAAAAGGGAACCGCACTGTTGGTGGGAATGTAAATTGGTGCAGCCTCAATGGAAAACAGTATGGAGTTTCCTCAAAAAATTGAAAATAGAACTACCATATAACCCAGAAATCCCACTTTGGGATATATATCCAAAAAAAAATGAAAACAGGATACTGAACAGCTATTTACACTCCTGTGCCCATTACAGCATTATTCACAATAGTCAAGACACGGAAACAGCCTAAGTGCCTGTCAACAAATGAATGAATAAAGATGTTGTATATATACAAGGGAATATTATTCAACCATGAGAAGGAAATCTCGCCCTTTGTGACAGGATGGATGAACCTGGGAAGGTATTATGCTCACTGAAATAAGCCAGAAGGAGAAAGACAAATATTCCATGGCATCACTTATACGTGGGATCTTAAAATTTTTTTAAAGCCGAATTCATATAAAGAGAGTAGAAAAGTGGTTGCCAGGGCCTAGGGGGTGGGGGAAATAGGAGAGAATTTTAAAAAACAAAATAAAACAAAACAAAAAAACCCTCAAATCAGGTGGTCTCTGACACACAAACTATGTAACTAAGAATTAAATGTTAAGTTGGCTGTGTGTACTCAGAATACATTTCTCCCACTGAAACAACTGTTTCCATTTTAACATTTAAAGTCTCCAGGAACCTATAAAGACGTGAGGCCCTGAATGTCTATTCACCCAACATCTAGAGCAATGGTTCTCAAACTTCAGGTGTATAGGATGCCCTGGAACACTTGTTAAACATGTAGACTAGCCAGTCCCCAGCAAGCAGAGATTCTCACTTAGTAGATAAGGAATGCACCTGGAATCAGAAATTTTAACAAGGGCCCTAAGCAGTTCCAATGCAGATGGCTTAGGACCATTTTGACAAACGCCAGTTTAGGAAAATACAAGATGGAGGGCAGGCAAAGCTGATAGGAATTAAACAGCCCCACAGCTATGTTTGGAAGTGGATTCAAAGGCTGGGGTCATAGTTTCAGCCAGATGAGAGACTAGATAGCAGTAAGGTTGGAAAGGGAAAAGAAGGCTAAGGAAGTGGCAGGAAAAGCTGCCTGGAAACAGCAAGATAAAAAGGTATCAACAGCAAGAAATGGGATGATCCTGAGTCAAGAAAGATGTCAAATGTTCTGATCCTAAGCCAAGAAATATAAAAAGTTTGACAGTCACATACTTGAAAGATTGATTTAGAATGTATTTATTTTAGCATATAGTTGGTATAACTTTTTTTTTTTTCTTCTCTACCCGCAGAAGAGTTGTTCCTGGATCCTAGAATAGTCAGATTCATAAACAGAAAGTAGAATAGTGGTTAGGGGCTGCATGGAAGCGGGAATGGAGAGCTTTTGCATAATGGGTACAGAGTTTCAGTCTGGGAAGATGAAAAAGTTCTGGAGATGGATGGTGGTGATGGTTGCACACAACATGCTAAAGTACTTAATGTCACTTAGAGTATACTTAGAAAGTGTACAATAAATAAAATGCTAAATGTTATGTTGTGTATACTTTACCACAAGGGAAAAAAAGTAAAATGGTAATATTGTCCCTAGCTGCCTAAAAGAGTTACTAGAAGAAGAAAAACATCAGAATGCACACAGAAGTTTTGCAAGGGAGAATAATTCAGAATCATTTTATAAATGCAAACTATCATCAAGGTCTTTAAAAGACAATGTAAGTGAGACACACAAATAAAAACCTTTAGATATACCTCATATTCATCATTTCGTGCTCTCTTTGTAGGAATGCCATTTTCCTATAAAAGAAAAGATGGTTATCAGAGAAATTCAATTCAAAAATACAATGAGGTACCACCTCACACTGGTCAGAATGGCCATCATCATAAAGTCTACAAATAATAAATGCTAGAGAGAGTGTGGAAAAATGGGAACCCTCCTACACTGTTGGTGAGGATGTAAATTGATACAGCCAATATGGAGGACAGTATGGCGGAGCCTTAAAAAACTAAAATAGAGCTACCATATGATCCAGCAATCCTATTCCTGGGCATATATATGGAAAAGACAAAAACTCTAACTCGAAAAGATACATGCGCCCCAATGTTCTTAGCAGCACTATTTACAATAGCCAAGACATGGAAGCAACCTAAATGTTCATCAACAGATGAATGGATAAAGAAGATGTGGTATATACATATAATGGAATGTTACTCAGCCATAAAAAAGAATGAAATAATACCATTTGCAGCAACATGGGTGGAACTAGAGATCATCATACTAAGTGAAGTAAGACAGAGAAAGACAAATATCATATGGTATCACTTACATGTGGCATCTAAAACAATGATACAAAAGAACTTATTTACAAAACAGAAGTAGACTCACAGTGATAGAAAACAAACTTATGGTTACCAAAAGGGAAAGA